ATTATTATTATTATTATTATTATTATCATATTGTTGTTTTATTATACTTTCGCCCCCAAGGCCTTGATGTGGGTCATTAAAAACGACCTGTGCCTGAGTGGGTTAATGACCGTAAAAAAAAAAATAAAAAAAATCTACAGACTTCAGAAAATTTATTACAAGACCAAGGGCGACCGTACCACTAGGCTAACCGTACATGACAAAACACCCAAATACACAGATGTTACGAAATCAGTGAAATTCGTATTCAGACTCAACCTTAAAGCCTTTGAGAGAGGATATACTTGAATATCCTAGCTGTGGTGGGTCTTCCAATAGGGCTCAGGAACCCACTTAGACGGACAAAGGCAGTGAAGGCTTATCTGTCCTGAGGGAGGTAGAGAGATATTGTACCGGGAATATGAAATAAAAATATTTTGTTAAGGTATTGCATCCAGATTATCTCACGTCTGTTTATTTTTACCTTACGATTAACTCACCTTACCTAACTCAACTCTAACCTAACCTAATTCTTAACTCTAACCTAACCTAACCTGTGTTTTGTCACCGTGTACTGGCCGGGTGTATCGTGTCAACATGATTGGTTGTTGTGACAGGTATAGTTCTGTACCCCCACACTGTCTGCCCAGCTGTTGTCCGTGCCCACCCACCCCACCCCACCCACCCACCACCCCACCCACACCCCGTCTTGCTTCGCCCTCCTCACCCCCCTCCTCCTCCTCCTCAGCCAAAGATCATCCTGGCTGACGGTTCATTAACAAAAGTAAGGACATCACTAATTGGATTCATTACCTGAGATTACTGTCTTACAGGTGAGGGGCTTCTTCTGGGTGTTGTCAGGGGTGGTTTGGTGGTGTCAGGGGTGGTAGTGTCAGGGGTGGTGGTAGTGTTGTCAGGGGTGGTGGTAGTGTTGTCAGGGGTGGTGGTAGTGTTGTCAGGGGTGGTGGTAGTGTTGTCAGGGTGGTGGTAGTGTTGTCAGGGGTGGTGGTAGTGTTGTCAGGGTGGTAGTGTTGTCAGGGGTGGTGGTAGTGTTGTCAGGGGTGGTGGTAGTGTTGTCAGGGGTGGTGGTAGTGTTGTCAGGGGGTGGTGGTAGTGTTGTCAGGGGTGGTGTTAGTGCTGTCACTAATTGGATGGCACCTTCTCCAGCCACACGTAAAGAACAAGAATGTAACAGGTGTTTTAATTAAAGGGTTTGTGTTAACTTTCCTAATTAATATAGAGTGGTTCAACATTTTCTTGTCATTAATGTAGACTGTTGGGGCCACTTCTGTTTGGCTGAGGCGTGGACAAATCTCTCTCTCTCTCTCTCTCTCTCTCTCTCTCTCTCTCTCTCTCTCTCTCTCTCTCTCTCTCGTTGAATTGGATTAGGTTTGGTTTCAGTCAGGGTAGATTAGGTTGAGGTCGATTAGGTTATAGGTTAAGTTGGGTAGATTAGGCTGGGTTAAAGTTAAGTTAGGTTAAGTTAGGTTAGATTAGGTTAGGTTAAAGTTAAGTACATTCTCAACATCACCTATAAATAATATTCACCACAACAGACACTCACTCACTGACAGCTGGACCCTAACAGGAACTCTTCAGTCGTCACAACATCATTGCCACCATAAGCTCTCCCAGCCCCCCCCCCCCCCCCTTGTGTTACTGCAGATATTAACCACAAACCCGTATATGCAAAATCCTTTCATTAACATAATATCTCTTTAATATATTCACATTTTCTGGTAATTGCATCATCAGCATATTTACGGTATTACTGCCTTTTGCATAACATCTTGAGCTAGCCGGAGAGAAGAGGCTGATTTGCATAATAATTCATTACTTTGGGGTATTGTTTTAAAAGCTGCATCAAGCTGTCGTTAGACCCATAAGTACGGTGATTTAATTCTTTGACTACAACGTCGTTTTACTTGGAGGAATGGGTCGTGTTATGGTGTTTATGATGAAGGATTAAGTCATTGTATTCACTGGGTTTAGTTCATCGTACTCAAGGGGTTGTTAGGTGGAGGTGTGTTTGTGTGGTGGTGGTGGGTTGAGGTGTGGTGGTGGTGGGTTGAGATGTAGTGGTGGTGGGTTGAGGTATAGTGGTGGTGGGTTGAGGTGTGTAGTGGTGGTGGTGGTGGTGGGTTGAGGTGTAGTGGTGGTGGTGGGTTGAGGTGTAGTGGTGGTGGGTTGAGGTGTAGTGGTGGTGGGTTGAGGTGTAGTGGTGGTGGTGGCAGTAATGTGTGTGTTTGTGTCGGCTACCATTCAGGCTACTTAGTATTGCGGGGTTCCTTAGTTGGTTAATCTGGTAGCTCCACCCAGCCACTTGCCTCGTCCACCACTCGCACTAAACTCACCACAAGTCTGCCCTGTACCCTAACTCACTCACTCACTCACTCACTCAAGGCCACTTACTCACTCACTCACTCAAGGCCACTACTCACTCACTCACTCACGCCAAAAGTCTATCTGCTTACGAAGGATGGGTGGAGAGACAGGTTACAGCATCACCTGGGGATTCACAGGATTGTCCGAGGAGTCCTAGAGGAATGTTGGGGGTATTAGGAGAGAGTCGGAGATCGTAGGAGGAGAGTGTTGGAGGTCGTAGGAAAGTGTTGGAGATCGTAGGAGGGTGTTGGAGGTCCTAGGAGGGTACTTGAGGTCCTAGGAGGGTATTGGAGGTCCTAGGAGGGTACTTGAGGTCCTAGGAGGGTATTGGAGGTTATGGGAGGTCCTAGAAGAGTATCGGAGGTCTTGGAAGCGCCGAAGAAATCCTTGGAGTGCCACACGGGAAATTAAAGAAACTTGGAGGACTTGAGTTACACTGAGGAAGGATGAGGGAGAGGTGAGGGAGGATGAGGGAGAGGTGAGGGAGGATGAGGGAGAGGTGAGGGAGGATGAGGGAGAGGTTAAGATTAGGTCAGGGTAATTCAGGGAGGGTTAGGTTAGGTCAGGGAGGGTTAGGTTAGGTCAGGGAGGGTTAGGTTAGGTCAGGGAGGGTTAGGTTAGGTCAGGGAGGGTTAGGCTAGGTCAGGGAGGGTCAGGGTATATCAGACTCAGCGGGTGACAATGAAGGTTGGGTGGTGTCAGGATTCATGTTACTTTAACCATGTTTGGCGGGTCGTCTGGCGTGGTCGTGGCAGTGCCCTCTACGACCTCCTGCTGGTGCTGAGGTCACTCCTGCTGGTGCTGTGGTCCTCCTGCTGGTGCTGTGGTCCTCCTGCTGGTGCTGTGGTCCTCCTGCTGGTGCTGTAGTTTTCTCTCTATCACACGTATATATGTATGTGTCTGTCATTCCCTTTAAGTTTATATCTCTCTGTCTCCTCTCTCTCTCTCTCTCTCTCTCTCTCTCTCTCTCTCTCTCTCTCTCTCTCTCTCTCAAGCTATGGCAATACTGGTTTTTTACTGTACGTGTTCTGTTGTAGTAGTGTGTGTGTGTGTGTGTGTGTGTGTGTGTGTGTGTGTGTGTGTGTGTGTGTGTGAGAAAAGAAGAAAGAAGAAGAAGAGAAGAGGAGGGCTGGGTTATGCCTGACTCACCTGACACATACCATTGCTCTCCCTTATCTAAAGGCGTTTCTCTCTCCTAGCCCATCCCTCCCCAACCCCACCACCCCTACCCCTCACCACTCCCCTGCCTCCCCACCACTCCCTGCCTCCCCCCCCACCACCCCTGACCCCCACACTGACCCCCCCACCACCCCCTGACCCCCACCACCCCTGACCCCCCACCACCCCTGACCCCCACCACCCCACGCACATCTCTGTAGTAATATAATAATAATATACACGGTTCTTAACCCTGTGGAGGTGAGGGTCAGTCTATTGTGAGCGAGGGTGTGGCTGTGTTTACATGTGCCCCCTCACTCCCCCCTCCCCTCCCTCCCCAACCCCTCCCCTGTATATCCTCATTTAAAGGCACTACATCACCACAGTAATTCACCCTAAGCTAACTTACGTCTTTACACATTTTTTTATCATAAATTGGCCCGAAATACATTATTCTTCGTGGTGGTAGTAGTAGTGTTAGCGGACTCTTGATATGCCTCGTGGTTTTTCCAGTTCATCTCTTCAACATTCACACCTCCATTCGTACAACAGGTGATTTTTGTTATTTATTAATATATATTTATTTTATCACTGGTAGAGGTTAATATAACGCCTGTGTGGGGGAGTGTTGGAGGAAAGATAACAGGAGTGGGGGAGAAATTGAGGGAGATTGAGGGGGGGGCAGGAGGAGGAGGAGGAGGAGGGGTTAAGAAAAGAGAATAAGGAAAGGATTAAGAACAGGGAGGAAAGGAGAGATGATGGAGAAACAGAAGGGAGGCGATGCAAAGGGGAATAAACCCACTCAGACAAGGGTTGGAAAGGGTTAGCTCATTATGCATACTAACCCTTTGACAACCAGTGTACTCACCTGCTTAATGGCGTCGGCAAGGAGTCCTCACTACCCTATTACCTGAGAGACTTTTTGGGCATCTCTCCCCTCCCTCCCTCCCTCCCTCCCTCCCTCCCTCCCTCTCTCCAGGGTACACAGGGAGGTAGGTTGAGGGCGTTGATGTTTACAGAAGCAATACCTACTGTCTTGTTTAACGAGACCATTCTTCTCTCGGATCACCTGAAGATTAGTTCCTCTCCTTCAGGTTTATTTATCACCCTAGTTACCACTGTTAACCTTATTTGAGCTATTCCTAACCTACCCTACCCTAACCTACCCTACCCTAACCTAACCTAACCTACCCTACCCTACCCTACCCTAACCTACCCTAACCTAACTAACTCCAGTACACAAGATGTAGCTGCTGTGTTGGTAAGACTTTTGTGTGTGTGTGTGTGTGTGTGTGTGTGTGTGTGTGTGTGTGTGTGTGTGTGTGTGTGTGTGTGTGTGTGTGTGTGTGTGTGTGTGTGTGTGTGTGTGTTCTCTCACTATCTCTCTCATCCTTACCCCTCCCGCCGCCTCCTTATCACTTACATTAGTGGAGAATTTATCTGTAAATATTGCTGAGAAATATTTAAAGCTGGGAAAGATGCAGCTTGAAAAGAAAACTGTGGAGGACATTGTGAACATGAGGAAGATTCATGTAAGCTTGTCAGGCATTACAGCTTGATCGTCATTATCTTTATATGGAAACATTAGCTCATAAAAACGACTCATAAACCTGTGTTTTTTTTAATCTTGTTTTTACTGTAGTGATGATTAATACTCTTTTGTTTTTACAGGTGTGTGGAGGTGTCGATGCTGAGGCGTAGGAACGTAGGTAGACCCGAGTTACCTGATTGTATCTAGTTATGAACGTGATTTATACAGGTATGAGGTATAAGAAATTTTTTTTGGGCCAGGAAGACGAATTATAGTCAGGTAGCCTTTATAGACAGGAGCTGAAGATTAGTCACCCTAGCTTCTTTTACCTGATTGAACATCCTAACGCTATTTGGCTTAGGTTAGGTTCTTATGAATTGATATGTGTCGTGTCTCTTGAGGGTTGGTGACTTATATTAGTCATAGTGGTGTTTTGACGCCATTTTTTGTTATTATCGTATGTTATGGCTAAATTATTCAGGTAGAAACGTTCTCTTAATGATAGAACCTTTGAGAATCTATCTTTGTCGTGAGTTCAGACTCTTAAGATGCTTTCCCTAACCTAACCTAACCTAACCTAACCTAACCTAACCTAACCTAACCTAACCTAACCTAACCCCCCCCCTTCCTCAGGTAGCATTATGGTGTTTAATAATCAGGTGAAATAAGCTGCAGGTGTTTTAATTATCAGGTAATCCCCGTTATGCTATGTAGTGACAATTGTTGTTGACTTGTCGTGAGAGATTGAGATTATAATTTACACAGTATTAAGAGTATTGACTTAGATGATACGTTTGATAACTCTCTCTCTCTCTCTCTACCACTTTTTGGATCACAGTGTTTAAACAGGGTGGAAGAGGACAGTGGATTGTGTTGTGTCTAACTATTTGTTGAACATATTCTGAAACTTGACACTAGGGAATAGACGTCATCGTGCTGGTGGGAAAAGTTGGCGCGTTCTCTGGTTTTGGCGCGGATTAAGTGACAATTTTTAGCCCCTCGGTTTCATTTGGCGTTGAATTTTGGCGCCACAGATAGTAAATTCTTGAATATTTGGCGCTTTAGTCGCGAATTCGAGGAAAAAAAATAGCACTATCTTGTCTGAGAGTTGGCGCCATGACTGTGCTTTTGTGAATATGGAATGACTTTGAGACTTTAATGAGAAAAAACTGTTGGTGTGTGTGTGTGTGTGTGTGTGTGTGTGTGTGTGTGTGTGTGTGTGTGTGTGTGATCACCTGCCCTGAGAGTCGCTGACATAATGTTTACCTCTGACGTCATTATAGAGGGAGGGGGGTGGAGGAAAGATGCTAAGAAAGGGGGGTAGGAGGGGGGTACAGATCAAATCCCCCCCCCTGTAGCCATTACTATCAGGGCCCGTTAGAATAAGGGCCCATTAGGATTTGGGGCCCCATTTAATCCCTTTAATTGAAGACTCTGAGGACGCACCACCACTGGGGAAAATGACGTCAGGACTGGACAGAGTTGCGTCACTCGGGTGTTACGAGAAACACAGACTATAGGAATGCTTGAGAATCCGACCTGTGTGTGTGTGTGTGTGTGTGTGTGTGTGTGTGTGTGTGTGTGTGTGTGTGTGTGTGTGTGTCAGAAGGTCACACTGTTGAGTTTAACTTGACCCCTGGGGTGTTGATGATCGTCATGGTGGGGAGAGGTTAGGAGGAATCTACCACAGTTTGCCACTACCACTACACTTCCTTATGTAGAGTCTGTGTGTATGTTTGTATATATGTTTATGTATGTATGTGTGTATAAATTGTATGATTTTATATATATGCCTTTGTATATATATATGTATAGCTGTTTATGAAAGCTCTCTATTCATATCTGACTTTGTATGTACAGTGCCTTTATATACACCTGTCTGTATATATCTATCATTGTTCGCCTCTAGTTATATATATCTTCATTTATATACAATTTTCAACACGCAATAGCTTATTTTACCATTATGATGTGGTGGGTTAGATAATAATAATCATAATCGTAAATAATAATAATGATGATGATGGCGAATACTTTGGCGAATATTTTAAGATGTAAACAAGATAGTGTTGCCAAATTCCACCGCTAGATGTCACGTCAGTAAACAACTAGGGGATACGAACTTACACTATATATATTTTTGTTGTGATAACTTTTACAACAAAATAGAGTAACATTCTTGAAATATTTGTGTAAAGTAGTGATCTATTATTATCAAAAGGCTAATAAATTGTAGATAAATAGATAATGATGTGGAACGAAGTATATGCGATAATTTGTAAAGGGTGAAGTGAGTTGATATACATAAGCTCTTAGTGTTCGTGACTCAAGTGAAGTTTATAAAGGGAAAGATATATTTTTTTACTATATACAACGCGATGCTTATAACGATATATTTTTGTTGTGTAAAAGATATACAAACGAGGCTGTATTTTTCACTGCTCGAGGCGTTAATAAAGAATCTAATTTATTTTGTCATACACGAGAGATTTATAAACAATCATTGAGTAAACAAAGGCGAGGGAGGTAAACACACTGGGGAAAATAAACAAATGAAGAACGACGAGGCTAACGCAAGTGGACACCTGCCACCCCTTGCCCCTGGCCTACCACCACCCCCTGCCCCTGGCCTACCACGTCCTCCTTCGGGCCTACCACCACCCCCTGCCCCTGGCCTACCACCCCTTGCCCCTGGCCTACCACGTCCTCCTTCGGGCCTACCACCACCCCCTGCCCCTGGCCTACCACCCCTTGCCCCTGGCCTACCACTAGTCCCTTGCCCTTGGCCTACCACCCCCTGCCCCTAATGGTTCAGACCCCATGACAACTACCTGGTGACACCCTAATGACCCAGACTATAGCATGAACAGATACTTAAGGATATTGTAGGATACTTAAGGATATTGTAGGATAGTTAAGGATATTGTAGGATAGTTAAGGATATTGTAGGATAGTTAAGGATGTTGTAGGATAGTTAAGGATATTGTAGGATAGTTAAGGATGTTGTAGGATAGTTAAGGATATTGTAGGATAGTTAAGGATATTGTAGGATAGTTAAGGATATTGTAGGATAGTTAAGGATATTGTAGGATAGTTAAGGATATTGTAGGATAGTTAAGGATGTTGTAGGATAGTTAAGGATATTGTAGGATAGTTAAGGATATTGTAGGATAGTTAAGGATATTGTAGGATAGTTAAGGATGTTGTAGGATAGTTAAGGATATTGTAGGATAGTTAAGGATATTGTAGGATAGTTAAGGATATTGTAGGATGAGTTAGGGACATTTGAGACCGTAGAGAGATACTGTTAGGACATTAGTTGGAGCTCCACTAGTACCAAGGGCTTAGATAAGACATATCCAGGTTAGACTAGGGTAGACATACGTCGTTAGGCTCGGCTAGGCACCAGGCTCAGCTAGGCACCAGGCTCAGCTAGGCACCAGGCTCAGCTAGGCACCAGGCTCAGCTAGGCACCAGGCTCAGCTAGGCACCAGGCTCTCAACTAGGGCACCAGGCTCAGCTAGGCACCAGCTCAGCTAGGCACCAGGCTCAGCCAGGCACCAGGCTCAACTAGCACCAGGCTCAACTAGGGCACCAGGTTCAGCTAGGCACCAGGCCTGGGCCAGGCACCAGGCTCAGCTAGGCACCAGGCTCAGCTAGGCACCAGGCCTGCCAGGCACCAGGCTCAAAGGCTAGGCACCAGGCTCAATTCAGGCACCAGGCTCAATCTTAGGCACTCAGGCTCAGTTAGCACCAGGCCTGGCTAGGCACCAGGCTTGGCTAGGGACCAGGCTCAGCTAGGCACCAGGCTCAACTAGGCACCAGGCTTGGCTAGGGACCAGGCTCGTCTAGGCACCAGGCTCAGCTAGGCACCAGGCTCAGCTAGGCACCAGGCTCAGCTAGGCACCAGGCTCAGCTAGGCACCAGGCTCAGCTAGGAGGAACACTCACACCATCTTGACTCCAGCCATTACTACAGAGTATTTTTTACACGAGTTGAGGAATTGTGGCGTGAAATTACCCAAGTAAATGATGCGGTGTAGGTGGTGCTTCCCGGGGTGCTGCTGGCCATGAGGAGGAGGCGGGGGAGGTGAGGAAGGAAGAGGAGGAGGAGTGGAGGGGAGGGGAGAAGGAAGAGGAGGAAGGATGGAGGGGAGAAGGAAGAGGAGGAGGAAGAAGGGGTGGTGGGGAGAAGGAAAGAAGAGAAGGAAAACGAAGTATCGGGGTAGAAGGTGGAGGAGGAGGAGAAGCTTGGGAGTGAAAGAAAGAAAGAAAATAGAATGACAGCAACAGTGACAAGGAAAAAAAAAAGGAGTTTCCCGTCAAAATTAAGCTGCTTATGTTAGGTTACATCAAGTGCTTTCAAGTAATCTTGGGATGATGTCTTTAAGTTTTATGATTTACAGAAATACGTCGCTAAATTGAAAGCTCAACTTTTACTAGATACGTTCACTTAACACATCAGTTAGGAGAGCAAATTAACACTGAGACTCTACCTTAACTAGATACGTTCACTTAACACACCAGTTAGGAGACAAAAATTAATAGAAGTTTTATGCGTTTTAACCCTGACGAGGAAACGCTGCTCCCATGACAAGGTTAGTGTGTGTGTGTTGCTCCCAGCTGTATGTGCATATGTGTGTGGTCTCCAGCTGTGTGTATGTGTGTGTGTGTGTGTGTGTGTGTGTGTGTGTGTGTGTGTGTGTGTGTGTGTGTGTGTGTGTGTGTGTGTGTGTGTGTGTGTGTGTGTGTGTGTGTGTGTGTGTGTGTGTGTGTGTGTGTGTGTGTGTGTGTGTGTGTGTGTGTGTGTGTGTGTGTGTGTGTGTGTGTGTGTGTGTGTGTGTGTGTGTGTGTGTGTGTGTGTGTGTGTGTGTGTGTGTGTGTGTGTGTGTGTGTGTGTGTGTGTGTGTGTGTGTTTAATCGCTGGAGGAGGAGATGAATGTTGACACCCTCACCAAACATTCACACTTAACATTATCCATCACTCAAGTGTCGTCTTAGG